AAAAAAAAAAAAAAAAAAAAAAACACACAAAAGCAGGCTCCCTTTTTTCCTTGACACAAAACATGCATTACAAATTCTATTTTGTTGGGCTTCCTTTTTCCTCGTCCTAAAGTGTTCTCAATTGTTCATATATGCAGATAGAAAGGAAGGCCTACGAGGTTGTTGTGGAAAATGGGAAGTTTATGTACAGGTATAGTGGGAAACTTCTTCACACAACTGGAGGGCCACGTGATGCCAAATGGATCTTTGTTTTGAGCACATCAAAAACTTTGTATGTCGGGCTCAAGAAAAAGGGTACATTTCAACATTCAAGTTTCTTGGCTGGTGGAGCCACATTGGCTGCTGGTAGACTAGTGGTTGAAGATGGTGTTCTAAAGGTCAGGAACACAACCATATTAAGTTGAATAAAGATTGGGTTTAGGATGGCTTTTTAAAAGTACATCTTTATAAGTCCTCTTGGGAGGACTTCCTCTTCCCTTTCACATCGTTCATTATCCTAACGTGCTATATTTTCTATACTTATAGGCAGTTTGGCCTCATAGTGGACATTACCTTCCTACAGAGGAAAATTTTCTGGAATTCATGTCCTTCCTTATGGAAAACGATGTGGATCTAACCGATGTTGAGGTACTCGAGAACCTTTTTTTTTTCCCTCAATATTAGGTTACAGTTTTTTTTTTCCCTCAATATTAGGTTACAGTCGCAATGTAACTAGAAAACTTTAGTGATTATAACTGCTAACCCGAATTCTATATGCCTATACTATACTCAGAAAAGCCCATATGAGGAAGAAGAACTTCTCACCAAAGATAAATTCACCTATCTTCAAGAAGATTCTAAAGACGTTGCTGGTGGAATAAATATTAGAGACACAATCGACAAGAATATTCCATCTAGACCTCTTGTCAATAATCCATCTAGACCTCTTGTCTCTAATCCTGCAGAGACTCAAAAACCACGAATATCAAGATTATCAAGAGGATTACGATCAAAGCTTACTAACCTTCAAATACCAGAAAGAAGCAATGTGTTTGACATATTCAAGAAGGAAACACTTCCAGCTAGTTGTAGAGCTCTCATTCCAGATTCTCCCTCGGACGATGGCTACGAAACAGCTGAAGAATCATTCTTATCAGAAGAAGAATTCATGGTTCCTAAATCTAACCTCTTTGGCGAAGATGAAGAAGACAATGATGATCAACCAATCCAGAAAGAGAAAATCTTAAGGCGAATTGTTTCACATAAGGAAATGAAATCATATCAGTTGGCAAAACAATTATCAAGCAGATGGACAACTGGAGCTGGACCTCGCATTGGTTGCATGAGAGATTACCCACAAGAGCTTCAGAACAAGGTATTAGAGCAAGCTAACTTGTCTCCCAGAGATAGAGTTGTTCATGCTTCTCATTCCCGGACTCAATCTCGAATTGGCTCCATGGCTTCGACTCCAATTTCATGTAAAGACACGAGCACAACCAGAAGTCCACTTTCTTCAAATTGCCTGATATTGTCTCAAACTGCAACACCTTCAGCTGAATGTAATTAGAATATAAATAACGAACGTGTGTAACACACGTATTACTCTGCAATTACTGGATAGAAAAGATGATATATATACATAGTTAATGTGCTTCTTTAGACTCCAACATGGACTGAGGGATGAAACGCTTTTGCATGCTTTCATTGCCTACTAATATACATAGACGCAGAGACTCTTTGCAAGCAGAGGTATCATCTTCTCAGATTTCCCCAAAGAGAGTATTCTGTTTACATAACTAACAGAGTTATTTTTGTCTCTAAACTACCTTAATGTTTGTCATCATAACATGATTTCCTAATTCAACAACAATCAAAATTAAGCCAAATTGTACAATCAAAACCCTTCAAACTGTTTGACAATGTCGAAGAAGAAAAATGATACCTTGCCCATTCAGCCAACTGTGGAGAATCCATATCCTCTATTCTTAATTTGTAAGATCATGTACTGACAATGAGTGAAAAGAGATGTTGGAGGTTGGAGGTCTGACATGTGTTGCACAAGAAGTTGACATTCTATCCTCTTTGCCCTACATACATATCCATATCCCGAAATAATGAAAATTTCTACTCAATTTATTGATTTCTTTTTGTCTTTCCTTTATTGCTCACACAGGGTAAGTTATAATGCACAATAAATATTCCAGACTATGGCTACAATTACAATCAACACCATATATCTGACTGTGAAAATGCCCCAAAGAACAAAATGTGGAGAATGCAATTGAAATAACTAAAATTCATTAGATGATAATACAACATGAATCTATAAAATTTTATGGCAATATTTACAAGATAAAAAACTGAATACATCCTTGCTTTCTATTTCTCATGCACCCACAAAAAGTTCATTAAATGAACAAAGGGATTGTTCTCTAGATCAAAGGAAATATGATATACTCAGCATAGAAGAGATTCCATATAAACCGATAAAATGTTGAGATTGCTTCCTGCAAGACAAATGAAATTAATTATTAGGCTCCAGAATTTCATGGGTTGGAAACAAACCTGCCTTAGTCGCTCACTCTTTGAAGTAAACAACGTATAAAGGAAGATAAAACGCTCATTGTAGTTACTGATATGAAAGCCAGAACTGGAATTTACCTTTGAATAATTTGCTCTCTCCAACAACCATGCCTGAGATTCAAAAGAAACAAGGTTTTGTAAGTTTAGAGTCAATACATATAAATTAGTTGTTCTCGAGGACAGGGTTTCTTTAGTCCTTGGTTAGTATTAATACATACTAATCAAGAAAATAATAGCAGGAAGAAATTTAAATTTATAGACACAATATAGCACCATCATTCGTGATTTCTGGGAGACTAGTGCAAGAAATGAACCTGGAAAATGAGGGACGATGCCAAGATTGCATGAACAGGGATCATTATTTTACGGTTAAAAGCCTGTAAAGATGAAATATGGCAATTTTACTTCAAAAAGATACGTAAAAGTATTTATAGTTAAAATGTCACGGACCTGAGGCATGTAAATTGCAGCCGCTATAGCAGCAACATAATTTAACAGCAGAAGTCCAGAACCAAGAAATGAAATATTTCTAACACCAAGCGTTGTTGCTAAGGTTGATATCTGAAACCTTAATTACAATTCTCATTCAGATGACGACATGATAATTTCCTAATATACACTTCTAAAAGAATTGAGATGCAAATTTTGGAGTTGGAAAAAATTGAAGCCTTCTGGGAAAAGAATCCCCACAAAGCATAAGTAGAGGAAATAGGAAGGAGAAAAAAAAGTAAGGTTTGTTGGGAAAAAAGGGTTGAGGGAACAACGTCAATTCAACTAAAAAATTTGTCACCATCGAAGTAGTTGGGGCATCTTACTTGCGATCTCCCTCCACATCTGGAAGATCTTTCGTTATGGCAATCACTAAAGCAAACAGGGTCACAAATGTGGTAATGAAAGCCACAGGTGAGCTGCAAGGAATATAATGTCACATATAAAAATCTACGTAAACTTTTGTGCCTTGTAAGTGCCATCGGTAACTAAAGCTTAAAAAACTAAAAGCAGACACTAACATCGTGATTCTATTTATACAGACTATCATGCCGTTTCTTTATAGTTCCAATATCACTAATAAGCAACTACAAGCGATACTTTCATCGAGAGAAAATCTTGCATTAGCTTCAGATCCTAAACACACGAAAAATATTGGAACTATGAAGAAACAGCATATACTAAAGCATTAATTCCAGCGAAAGATACATGTAATTTAAAAAAAAAAAAAAATCACAATCTAGTATAAAATCCCCAGGCCATTAATTTATGACATTGGCGTGTGCTTGTTTGGAATGTGAATCACTATATTCCATTTTTCCTATAACTTAGACCCCACAATATCCTTGTAACACCCGAGTCTCCGCGAGGTGCTAAACACCTAGTTTTTCTTATTAAGTCCGAACTTTCAAGATTTTATTGAGAGCCTTAGAGATCAAATTTCAAAATTATGTAGAAGAGAAAAATGCTTGGAAAAGTCCCATGAACTCAAAAAAAAAAATATATATATATATATATATATATAAGAGTAAAAATGTGAAAAAATGGTCAAAGTCAACCCCAGAAAGGGGTATTTTGATCATTCTGTCCTCCTTCCTAGGCACATGAAAATAGGTATTAGTGAAAGATAAAGAAAAAGAAAATTAGAGAAGAAAAGAAAAGAAAGGAGCCCGAGGGGAGAAAGTTCGGGAGAAGAACTAGGGGTTACATGGGTAGTTAGCTCAAGATATAGACTCCTATTGAGTGTAGAGACGGGCGAGCCTATAGACCAATCCTGGTTGGATTAGAGACTACATGGGTAGGTGTCAGGATGAGAATCCCTATTGAGTGTAGGAACGAGTCAAGGCCGACGCGACCCCGTAAACCGATCTTGGAAGAGATCAAGGACTATGCAGGTAGGTGGTTTAGGATGAACACCTCTCTTGTGTAGGAACTGATCAAGGCCAATGTTGTGACGTCGTAAACCAGTCTCGAAGAGGTACTAAGGACTATACAAGTAGAAGATTGATGAGGAATCAGTTGGAACTTCGAGACCTACACAGCAGCTTAGAGCGTTGTAAGGGATAAGCCCAAACTTCCTAGAGATCAAAAGGAAAGTTGTGGAAACCTACTAAGAGAAGGAAGCGATGAAAGCCTATAAGTAGGTTGCTTACTGAGTATATCTTTTTATACTCACCCCTTTTTCCCTTTCTTTTTCAAGCACCAATTGAGTTGGGGAGGTACTTGTGAGCTGCACTGTCACTGAGGAGTGTCAACTGGAGTGTTAGTCATTTGTATTTTTTAGGGTTGATTTTGTATTCTTTTGTATCATGTGCCCCTTCCCCGTTTGTAAATAACTTGAATAACATTTGTTTGCATTGTCCTTCTTTTTGGACTTTGAATTTTTGACACTAATGTTGCATGTCTTTTAATCCCCGCAAAATTTTATCGTATTTTCCACATTTTCAGTGGTTTGTTTTTATTTTTAATTCTGTTTTGTTTGTGTTTCTGTCACTATCCGTCGCAATCCGATTTTTTGAAGCCTTGAAAATCAGGCCGTGACAATCCTATACTACCGGCAATACCTAGTTTATCAAATTAGTTTATTGAAGTTCATTGAACAATGACAGCTATTCCACGATGGTTCAAAATTCAGGTTGAATAGACAAATTGTATGTATCTCGAGGTAAATGTGGTTTTTGTTAAGCATTCACAATTCTTGTTTTCAAACTTAAGTAGAACAATCAATTTAAAGTAGGGACCACATATCTGCACCCTGATTCAATCTAACTCAAATACATTATGAATTATTAATGGCGACTAACCTCCACTCAAAGGTAAGTCCAAGAGCAGCTCTAGTGGCATAATAGACACCAAAATTAAGAAGAAAACCTCGTACCTGCAGCATTTAGTTCAGAGTTAGAATTATCATCCATATTGTCAACAAAAGCACATGTTAACCAGATGATATGCTCGTAAAGCTTTAGCTCTTGGGGAAAATAGGTACTGGCAATGCACATTATAACCTCGATAAGAGTTTAAAGTAGCTCTTGTGTTCCAAACTAATTAATTGCCTAAACCAGAATGCCCAATTTCAGAACTAGAATGGAAATTCTTAGAACCGTAATCAAATAATAATTCTTTCAAACTTATAGCGAAATTGTATAAAATTGGATAGCCAAGAAGATCTTGACACAGTAACGAAGTATTTAAATACCAGTGCAATATGTTTTAAATTTCTCAAAAATCTATTTTCTGAAATTGGGAGTTTGAATTCGGCCATTAACTTTGTGCAAATATTTAAACAGTCATACTCCTTGAAGTGGAAAGTCAGATTTTCACTTGAAATTAGGTAAGCAATCACCTGTAGCTCAATTTCAGGTAGCGAGTAAATGCGCCATACTTTTTCAACTTGCCATTCATTAAATTTTCCAACTTCTTTATATTCAGCACCTTTCAATATTTTATTAAGACCATGTGACATAAGAAGTTGAAATTTTGAAGGGAAGAGAAACGGATGTACCGTAGCAATTATAAGAAATGCTGCTACAGGAAATCTCTTCATTCTAAATGGAGGAACAGAGTAGATAGTCCCGAGGAAAAGACCGAGACTGTAGAGAGAAGTAATAAATGGTCCAAAATTCAATCCAACAATTAACAGACCAGCCACTGCAAAAAATATCACCAAGAGCCATGCAGATTTGACTGAAAGATCTCCTGCGGCTATTGGTAAATACGGTTTGTTCACTCTGGAAATGAAACAAAAAAAAGGGGACATTATATGCCACAATTGCATCGTCATCTTAATATATGTTCTCAAAATATGTAGCAAATTGAACTAATATGCGTTACTATTTATTATGTGGATCAACAGAGGTCTCCTAACCAAACTATTCATGAGGTTTCAATGGATAAACAAATGTCAATCAGGAAAAAGCTCATGAAAAATGTTGAAAATTAGAAGAAATGATTTTCCAAGCTGAGTTCAGTGTTTTTAATCAGGACAAAGATCAAAATATGTGATTTATATTTCTAAAAATGGTATAATGAAATCTTGCTTCTTGTTTTTAAAAAAAAAAAAAAAAAAAAAAAAAAATCAATCACATAATTGGTTGTTGATCTAGTTCCTAAGCAGTTATCATGCCAAATGATCTGATATTTAGAAGTCAAGCAAGAATGACATTTGAGTATGAAACCAAACAAATTTAAACTGATTAATGAAAAAATATTGATATACATACTTGTCAATTCCAATATCATAGATCTGATTGATACCAACTATATAACCATTTCCACATATTAAGGCAAAAAGACCAGAGAAAGCCTTAAACAGCAAGGACCACTTTATCAGGTGTGAATTCTCAATCAATGCCCTAGTCACCAACGAACTGTAAAAGGAATCAAAGTCAAAATAGTTTGGAAAATATTAAATGAACCAGGAAGGAGTCCTAGTAAAGCAGTGTATTATGATACATTGATATAGCTACTTACAGAGATCCTAAAGCTGTTCCACGTATTGTATGAGGCCTTAAAAATCTCCAGCAAGCATCTCTAAATGCTGAAATATTGTTTGATAGGGGATCAGATCCTGCAGCTCCAACTCGAGTGCGGGCCTGGCAGCACCCACTATAGAACATCAATGGCATGGACAGATATAGTCTGAGTAGATTTTTCAATTACTGAGTAGGACAAAGAAGAAGACTGATATATGCAGGTAGAAAGAGAACAGCAACAAGGATGCTAAAAAGAAAAATGTAACAATTATTCGTACTTTTTTATGTTTTGGAAGAGTCTCATCGCATTCCGTACAATTGTGATGTAAGACGCAACCAAATTTTAGAAGACCGGTAAAAAGTAAAGATGATACTTCCCTACTTGAACGGATTTATAGTTAGATTTTCTTTTGTATATATTTAAACTTCGATCGAACAAGGGAATCGACTCCATTTCACCAAACACAGTGCAGTTTCAACAAGCTCCTAGTTGATCAGACTTATAGTTAGATTTTCTTATGTATATATTTGAACTTCGATCGAACAAGGGAATCGACACCAGCAAGCTCCTAGTTGATCGGACTTATAGTTAGATTTTCTTTTGTATATATTTAAACTTCGATCGAACAAGGGAATTGACTCCATTCCACCAAACACAGTACAGTAAGTATCAACAAGCTCCTAGTTGATCGGACTTATAGTTAGATTTTCTTTTGAATACATTTGAACTTCGATGGAACAAGTGAATCGAATCCATTTCACCAAACACTGTACATTAATTTTTAGTAAGTTCGGGATGCATGCTAATCCCCGAAGATTGCTCCCAAATCCATCGAAACATTTCTTCCACGTTCATACCACAATGTAACTTCAATAATTGGATTCCGATCATTCACAAACAAGTTCTTCATCATGCACAACAAGAGAAACTCGCTAATCGCTAATCGAAAACAGAAACATCAACCACTGAGAAAACAAACACACCTGGATGGAAACTCGTCTCCACGATCTAGTCGAAACATTTCCCCTACAACAGTACATCCATCTCGGCTGCAGTTGCAAAGCGAAATTCGGAAGCAATAGTTTAGGTAAAGCTGCTGCATGCCTAACAAGAAGCTTTCTGTGAGGCAGAGAAGACTTGAGAGCGGAATTCACAGCCGGAGTTCGAAGAGAAACGGATTGAATCATTGAATACTCCATAGTAAGAACAACCGGAATTGGAAAGGAAGCAGGAAGAAGAGATGAAGAATTTCCAGTCAGATCGTAGCAGAAGCTCACACCGCAGAAAACTGGAGAAGGCAGATAACATTCATTGGAGGCAAAATCGCTCCGAGCCTCTAGTTCACAAATGCACGTCCACTCCCGTCTCCCAACGTGGTTGTAAATTTGTTTAGCTTAGAACTTCACCATTACCATTATTAGGCTAAATTAAATCATACCCAACCCACCTAATTAAATATCAATTACGCTCCAAAAATTAAAAAAAAAAAAAAATTCCTTTTAATTTAAATAAAAAAAAACTTATTTTTCCAACAAATAATTTAATAACGACCTTCTAATAAAATAAAATTTGAACCTTTAATTACGAGTTTCTTGACTCGAGTCATGCAAAATAGATGAAACTCTCGAGCACGCGTACGAACAATCACATTATGTTAACGGAAATTTATACATACCATTTATAAACAGATCCGTATAAAATAAAATTGTCCCGACTCCCGAGCACATCCACATCAAATGTAGTTATACGGAAATTTATACATACCATTTATAAGTAGATCCGTATAAAACAAAATTGTCCCGACTCTCGAGCACATCCACGTCAAATGTAATTATTTTAGCTTTTAGCTATTATTATTAGGCTAACCGAAATTATACTAAACCTACGTAATTAAATTTCAATAATTATTATTTAATAAAAGAAATTATTATTTTTAAATAATTTTAAATTTTAAATCGGGTAGATGTGAGGTACCAAATGTAAGACTTACGTTGGATATAAAGATTTGAACCTTCAGTCTACTAGCTCGAGTCATATAATGTATACGAATATAAACCTTGTCGGTAGAATTGTCACCGTTACGTTAACAAATATTCTACTGATTGATGCAAATTCGAGAAAAAACACACCGTACTTTTAGTTACGTGCATCGAAAAACTATACGAACTATTAATCAGCAAGTCGGGAAAGCGCAAAATTGCTCTCGATTAAATCGAGAGCGTTTTTAAATGAACGGGAAGACTAAATATTCAGCATAGAACAGCTTCCACAAGAACATGTAGAAACTTGAAGCTGCTTCCTACAAAATGTGCACAAAAAACATCATAAGAATAAGGATTAAATTAAATTAAATTAAATTAAATGCATAAATTACATTACCTTGGTGTATTTTGCTTGATCTAATGCTATTGTCTGAAAAATAAAATTACACCAAATTTATTAAAAATGACATATTTCTTTTTAATTTATTTAATCGACCATTTCCACTATTTAAATTATTAAAATTTATTTAACGAGCAAACATATGATATCGAGATAGGTGTATATAAATAATAAAGTTATTATTTAATATTAACAAAAAAAAAACCTGAAAAATAAGAGATATTGCCATAATGGTGTGTGTTGGTATCAATATGGTTGGCCGAAATGCCTACGATAAATTTGAAAATATTATTATAAACGATATAAATAAGAAAAAATAATATATTTTAAATTTTTAAATATTTAATATTAGAAAGGAAAATGTGAACCTGAGGCATATAAATTGCAGCCAAAATGGCAGCAACATAGTTGAGAAGAAGAATCCCTGAACCAAAAAACGCCAACCTTCTGACTCCAAGCTTTGTGGCAAAAGTAGTGATCTTATATCTGTAAAAATTAAAATTAATTAAAAAACAAATCGAGCGAGTCAACGAGAGACAAGTCGAGAACTAAAAAGTCAAACAAATCGAGCAAGTCAACGAGACAAGTCAAGAACTGAAAATCAAACGTTTTTATCTACAAAACTCAAGATTTGTTAGAGAACGGTTTAAGAGTAACGAGTTTAGATGACTACTGGTAAAAAAAATGTTACCGAATAACTTAATTTGAGTGCTCAAAAATTTATTTTATAATACAGCTAATTTTTTAGAGTAGCTAATAAATTTATTATTTTTTTAATAAAATCACGAGTTTTGTGAATAGTAATTTCAGTAATATAAATTTTTACGAGACGGTAAAAAAACTTACCTGCGATCGCCTTCTATATCGGATAGATCTTTTGTGAGAGCGATGACCAAACCAAAGAAGGTAACAAATGTGGTGATGAAGATCACTGGTGGGCTGTTGGTAAAAAAAAAATTATCAAATTTTTCATAATTAAAGACTATAATAATTATTATTATTATTATTATTTATTATTACCTCCATTGGAATGGAAGTCCAAGAACCGATCTCGATGCATAATGTACACCAAAATTCACAAGAAAGCCTCTTACCTGTAAAAACGTAGTTTACATTATTAATCTTAACACGTTTTTTTTAAAGACATAATTGACAATTTTCAATACATTTAAGAGAGGAAATTAAAAATAGTTTGAAATATCTTAAATTTATTCTTAATAATTTTCGATATGGGGGTAAGAATGTAAATTTCATCTCTGGTCCCACCTCGACCCCAACCCACCTTAAGAGCACGTTGTCCCCAACCCGACTATAACAGTCCAAGCTCATCGCTAGCAAAAATTGTTCGTTTTGACCCGTTACATATTGTTGTCAGCCTTACGATTTTACGATGCATCTGTTAGTAAGAAGCTTCCACGCACCTATAAGAAATGTTTCGTTTCCCTCTCCAACCGGTGGGATCTTACAATCTACCCCTTGAGCGCCCAACGTCCTCGTTAGTACATCCCACTTTGGCCCGTTACGAATCATTGTCAACTAGACGTATTTTAAAATTGTGAGATTGACGGTGATATATCACGGGTTAAAACAGACAATATTTGCTAGCGGTGGGCTTAAATTGTTACACCGACACAACCCTCCAAACGTCACGATATACCCAACCCGAGCTAAGAGGTTTGTTGTTTAAGAAGAGAAGGTTAGTCGTACCAAGACAATGCAGAGGAAAGCAGCAATGGGGAATCTCTTCAATCTAAAAGGAGGAACGGTGTAGAGAGTCCCAAGCAATAGAGCGAAACAATAGAGGGAACTAAGGAATGGGCCTGAATTAAACGTGGCCGTACACAGCCCAATCGCCAAAAACGACGTCGTTAGAACCCATGCTTGTTTGCTCGTGATCTTCCCTGCCGCTATGGGCAAAAATGGCTTATTTACTCTGCAAAATAAATCATAACAAAAATTAAAAACTGTGTATTCTTAAAAATTATAAAATAAAATAAAATAGCCCGAATTGTTTATTAGTTATTATCCTTTGATATTAAAAAAAATCGATAAAATAATTATAAATAATGTGCGATAATAATTAACCCGATAAAAATAGTATTTAAATTAAAAATTAAAATTTTCACCTTACATATAACTGAATTTAAAATAATAATAATCTCGTATAAATAAAATTTTCAAAGTCCATACACTCCGACTAAATTTAAAAAAAAAAAATCCTAATATAATTGAATTAAAATCATAAAAGATAATTTAAAATTAAAAGATTTCAAAAAATAGAACGACTAAAGTTTTAATTATTTTAAAACTAAAAATAACAATTAATTCAAATCAATCTATTAATATAGTATTTAAATTACACAAAATTACAAAACAGGTCAATTGAAGTGAGTGGTAAAGAAATAAACTCTTCATTTTTCCAAATAAATAATAATAATAATAATAATAAACTGCATTAAATAAATAGTCATAGTCAAAATAAAGTTAATTATTAGAAAGAAAATAATAAGAGATAGAGAAAGAAAATACTTGTCAATTTCGACGTCATAAATCTGATTGATACCCACAATATAGCTATTGCCACACAACAGCTCTACTAGGCCGCTAAGTGCTCTTGTTAGAATCGACCACTTCATTAGATTTGGATTTTCAATCCACACTCTGCCCGCCAACGAACTGTGCGTCCATTATTAACCAATTCATATTTTTAATAATAATACTTATTTAATTTTGTTATAATTTTTAAAATATTTAATAATTTATTATTCCACGTCCTAATTTATATAAGTTTGTTAAAATTAAAATTAAAAACTGTATTTTTTAATTTTGAATATTAATCTTCATATAAAGTTTTACATTTATATATATATACATATTAATAAATAACAATAAACATGGTTTTATTTATCTTTATTATTAATGAGAACGAAAAAGAAATTAAGAAACCGAAACTTTGGAATTAATATTAGAAAAATGAAAATTACCATGAAGCCACTAGAGTTCCATAGAATGTGTGAGGCCTGAGAAAAGTCCATAATGCCCTTGCAAAATCCCAAATTTCTTGCGACTTTGTCTCTTCACCACCACCATTAGCCATTGCTTGGCTTCTCACCTCCTAACAATATTGCAACTCAGCCAAATTACCTTGTTACCCTTCCCAACTCTACTTTCAAATCTAAATAATATATTTATATAATTCATTCACTCAGTCATTAGTGTTCAAACTTTCCAGCCTACCAAAATAAATTAGTAATATATATATATATATATATTTTCACAATAGCGTGTATATATATACTCAATTAATTAAGATATTATAACATAAATAAAAATATTATATATTAAATTTTATCTTCTAAAAAAATTGAATTATATGCACATTAAATATGTTTTCTTCCTAAATACAAAATAAAAATACCTTTTTTTTTATTTATTTTGAGACACGACCTTACAAAGAAAAAGTAAAACCAAACAAAATCGAACTTAATATTGTTAGACAAACACGATTATCCACAATGAGTATGATATTATCCACTTTGAGCATAAAGTCTCATAGTTTTGTTTCGAGCTTCCCAAAAATGCCTCTTACTAATGAAGATAGTATTAATTGATTATAAACTCATGATCATTCTCTAAATTAATCGATGATTATAAACTCATGATCATTCTCTAAATTAATCGATGTGGGACACTTTCGTCCAACAAATATAACATATGCACGGAGACGAAGAGAAACTAATAAACTAGTTAGAGAGAGAAACCACGCTAACTTTATCAACTAAGATATATATATATATATATTGTCACAATCGCACTCTTGATGGCAGCGAACTTGCAATTGTGTGGCATTCACTTTCCAACGACAAGTGAGCTAACTCAATTCGTTCTTACGTCGCGTACGGCCAAGCGACGTATGTTCGAGCCTCTGGCCTCGGTTTAAGAGAAGGTTTTAGAAAACGAGAACAAAGAGATTTTTGAAAGAGAGATTTTGAAAGAGACGTTATATAAGCAAGCAAGAGAGTAACAACAACGGCTGACAGTATATAACTTTGGGTAGGGAGATATATATATATACATACATATATATAAATACACACGCGCATGCATACGTATCCGACCCTCGAAACGAAATAATTAAATATGGAGAAAACTTTAATTTTTGATAAAAATTTAGAGTGAGGATCCAAAAAAATGTACAAACCGGAAGAGGAGGGTTGAGCAAGTGAGATGGAGAACAATAAGGAAGAGGTGTTTGGAAGCTTTTGAGGGTTTTAACGGCTATTTTTCTTTTACGATACGACGTCGGATCAAAGCTCTGAGAACCGCCGGCGGCGGCGGCGGCAGCCACCGTTCTTAACAAACAGGAAGCCATAGCCATATTACTTATTTCCAGAGCTTATGGAAAAAACAAAGGGAGAGGAAAAGGGTATTTATAGAATTTCACGCACCCATTTTTTCTCTCTTGTCTAATCAAGACTAAGAAAAATTGAGTCTCGCAATATGACCTCCAAAAACGAAACAAAAGCGATGGCTTTCCTATTTTATTTATTTGGGTTAATAAAATATAATAAATCTTAAAAATTAGTTATTAAAAAACTTTTAAATAATAATAATAATAATAATAATAATTTAAATATATTTTCAAAATTTATAAAACACTAAATTAAATACATAATTATTATAGGGATTAATTTAAAATTTATTCTGAATTATAGTGACTAATTTTTTTTCATAATTGAAAAATAAAGTTTACTTGATGTGACGTCCCACGTTGATTTGGGAGGAGAACAAACCACCATTTTATAAGGGTGTGGAAACCTTCCCCTAGTTGACGCGTTTTAAAGCTTTGAGGGGAAGTCCGAAAGGGAAAGCCTAAAGAGGACAATATCTGCTAGCGGTGAATCTGGGCTGTTACAAATTGTATCAAAACCAGACACTAGACGATGTGTCAGCCTTCTTGTTGTTCCTCGAAGGGGGGTAAACACGAGGCGGTGTGCCAGTAAGGACGCTGGCCCCAAAAGGGGTGGATTTCGGGCCGTTAGGCCACAAAGGGGAATGGATTTGGGAGCAGCCCCACATCAATTGGAGGAAGGAAAGAGTGTTAGCGAGGACACTGGGCCCCGAAGGGGGTAGATTGTGGTGTCTCACATTGGTTGGGGAGGAGAACAAACCACCATTTATAAGAGTCTTAGTTGACGCGTTTTAAAGCTTTGAGGAGAAGCCCGAAAGGAAAAGTCCAAAAGGACAATATCTGCTAGCGGTGGATCTGGAGCGTTGCACTTGATCAAGTTTTAAAGCTTTGAGGGGAAGCCCGAAAGGAAAAATCCAAAAAGGACAATATCGACTAATGGTGGATCTGGAGCATTACAGAATGATGTATTTTATTATTTTAAATATATTGAGGGTTGTTGTAAAATTTTGAATAAAGTAAGGCGACTCATTTTGTTACCACGGTCAAATTTGTTTGTACTAAGAATAGATAAATAATATAATGTTAGGTCTGGAAATTTTTATAATGGAGAGTAGGGGGAATTTGGTAAAAGCGTGGTGGGGTATTTATGTTACTCGAAATATGACTTATTTTCATTGACTTTGACTTCAAATTCTACGTCTACCTTATCCCGATAAACCATACCTTGACTTTTGATTGGACTCATTCAATGTCGTTGTTTAATGTATACTTGGCAAAATTTAAGAACTTTTAGGTGCCCGTCCATAAACGTTGTCATTCGATGGAATCTCAATTTTTTGGTTTTTTAATTTTTTTAATCCAATTTCTAGCTCGTTTTTAACCTAGAGACTCATTGTTTCAAAGGTTTGATTATTGTTACCGTGTTTATTATAGTTTTGAAGATTAAGCTAATGTTAATATTACACATTAGAATTATTGTTATTAAATGTGAATATTCCGGTTAAACGAATAAAAAAAAACTTTTAAAAGATGAATAATATCCTTAAATTTAAAAATAAAAAATATTATGGAGCTTAAAAAAAATTAAAAAAATATCCTTAAATTTTAAAAATGTTACTGAATTTTCAAAAAATTTAGATAATACTCCTATATTTTATTATTATTTTTTTTAAAAGAAAAACTTTTATTATCAAATTTTTTAAAGTTAAATTTAAGTTATTATTGAAAAAAAAAAAATTCTTTTAATACCTTGAATTTTTTTTTAAAGTTATCGAAATTTTTAAAAATTTAATAATATTTTTTTAAGGTAAAATATAACATTTAGAAATATTTTTATTAATTTAACCTTCTATAATTTAATATATATATAAGCATGCATAATAAATTATTTATACTAGTTATTAGTTTTAGACATATATACCATTTGCAAGAAATGAGCTAGCTCCCTGGCTTGACAATTAAGCTCGACTTGGCGTCTCTTAGCGGAGGAACCACGACTCACAACTCGAACCATCTACTTTTCTTACGTCATTTCTACGAATTATGTTAGATCCAATTTTTATTCATAGCAAAAAAAAAAAAAACTATATATATATATATATATATATCGAGAGCTTGAAACTTTTAGATCACAAACGTTCAGTCGATCCATTGGGCCCAAATGAAATTAAGACCAATAGCCCAAAGCCAAAGCCCAATTCGAGATATAAAGAAGAAAAACATTATAGAATAAAAAAGAGAAAAAAAAACGAACCGAACCGAAATTCCGGCGGGAAGCGGTTCAGTCCAACGCCAACACAAATGTGGAAAGAAAAGAAAAGAGATTGTTGGAACGCCTACTAGGCTGCTCCCACGCCCTCTGCCCCTTCAGCACCGCCGTGGTTGTGGTTGTGGTTGTCGTCGCCGTTGCTTTGAGTGCCGGTGCTACTCCTTCCTTTGTGCCCAAGATTTACTCCTTCGATCTTCTTCTTCTATCTCGATCGCAGGTACTCTTCTCAGTCACTATCACTTATCTTTCAACGAAAATGTCTGCAAGATTGTTGTAGTTCATGAACTGATCGGAACCAAATCCTGAAAATCGACATAACTGGATTGTGGAGAACTCGAAAACATTGGTTCGATTCCTGGTTTAGTGAAAAGTTGTGGAGATCGAACCGATGCTCACATCCTTTACCAAAAAGAAAATTTGGAACGAAATGAAAAACCAAAGTGGGGATTCTCGCGCTCTCTCTCCATCTCTCTCCATCTCTCTCTCTTCCCCGTATCAGTCGTTTTCTTCTCCCTTGTACTGTATCTCTTTCTCTCTCCCTCATTGAGCTTGGTTTTGAAGGTATGGTCAGTAGAGGTTTCCGTTGAATCGTTCACTCATGTACAATGAACAAAAATTGTACTCAAATGGTTGATATTTACGATGAACAGAATTAAGAATACTGATTAAGAAGCGAGACATCCAAATGCCTATCCTCGATCTTCCTGTAGTTACTAACATGGGAGGAGCTGGAAATTTACATAGGGAGGGGCTAAATTTTTATAATCTTTCAATTTGCGAAATTTAGGCGACCAAATTAGATAGTGAACTTCAAAATCTTGACCTTTTTAATATAAGTTTTCAATTTCAGACTTGTCAAGAGCGGGGCAATCTTTCCTTTTTCACCCTGCCCTTGGTTCTTAGGGGGGTCTTACATGTACCAAATGCTTTAATCGTTCATTTTTGCCCTTGATGTTTTCATTTTTTGTGCAATTTTATTCACTAATGATTACCTTGGAAGAGCTGTTGCAACTAAATGTTATCTTTGTTTCATTTTCTTCATCAATGCAGTATTTTGGATACGGGTTTTGTCTGCCATATTTCATTGACATGAAGATGTGATGGGCTGTAGTATGCTACTCATTCTCATTCGTGAAGCTGCAGTCTAATATAAGCTGTTAATTATGGCAAAAGTCGTTGCTCCAAGCTCATTAACTTCAGCTTCCCATGATATCACCGGAGGGGCACCAAGAACTGGAAAATCGATTAAAAGAAAAACCCCATCTGAACTAAGGGTAAGTTGTTGACTTGCTAAATTATGTAAACATTGTATAGTGACCCAGGCATTAAATCAATATTTTTGGCATTATTTTGATCTTCCTAAAATTTTCCTTTTCATTCGTCATTAATGTCGCTGTCCAGTCTATTATTTGTAGAAGAGTAGAATCATGGTGATCCATGAGGATTCAAATTATGATGTCTTCCCCCTCTTTATTGTGATTGTATTTGTTCTTTCTTCTTCAGTTGTTTAAAATCAATTAGTTGGTATATTGTCGTGGTCGAGAGATATTGGTAAACTAGAGTAATTCTTAGATCACAATAGGGTGTCTAGTTCTCTGTCATGTTATGGTTATTATCAAATTTTATGTCAAGTAAGGCCAAAGTTTCAAGGTGATTGAAGAGGTAGAAGATGATACATTAAGTAAATATATTTCGACATTACGAAGCTTCACTTTTGGTACTTGCTACATTTCTTTATTTCCCGTTTCAAATGGGATGAGACATTCTATTTTATGCCTTATGCTCTTAAGCACACATCAAGAAGTTCTTCTGCAAAATGTAGTTAGGTTTAAGCAATATTGCTGAAACTTGTAAATATTATGCTCAAAACTTTTGCAGGGAGAGCAGTTAAAACGATCAAATGGTTTGGATCTTCTGGACAAATCTCCTTCCAATGTTTTTGCTTCTGACAAGTAAGATTTACACTTGCTCCTCTTTGCATCCTATTTACATAACTTGCAATTATTGATTCACTGAGAGCTTTCTTATTTTTGTATGTTCCAACAGTGCTTTGGGCAATGGACTCAAGAAGTCCGTGTTACTCAGAAATCCAAGATACATCGAGACACGCATGGATGAGGTATTTCCTGCAAAAAAATCTAGGGTTAGGATCTTATCAGGAAAAGATAATGCTAAGGTTAGTGAACTTATCTGAAAGACTTCGTTGCAGAATGTTTTTAAGTAATTGTATTTGGTTTTATATCAATTGATTTGTTAACACTTAGGAAAGTAGTCAGATGGAGCAGGCCAGCAGTTTCATGAATATATCTTCGCTTCCAAATTTGGTTGCAAGTCAATGGTAGGAACTTTTTTATTTTTTTATTTTTTATGTCTTTCTGCTTTCTTCAGTGATTTTTAATGGTTTCTTCTGTAGAATTCGAGTTACATAATTCTGTTTAATCGTTGCTTGCAGTAAGGAGAATTCCGTTGGTTCCACGGATGTTGCCAATGATAAGACTGCTAAATCTTCTCAAATAGTTGAGAGTGGTAGCCAAAGTGTATTTCGAAGTGTCACTGAGCTCTCATCTGGAGGTGACAAATTGACAGGCTTGACATGCATTGATATGGTAGAATTCTGGAAGCAATGTTTGATTTGTTAGTTTCATATCAAATATCTTTTGTAGTTCTGTTCAATTGTATAGGGTAAAGCATTAAAAGGACTTGCTGCTCGGGAACCCACTGCAATTACTAGTTTACCATTGGACTCTTCCAAGAGATCCAACGATGCTTCGTCTACTTGTTCAAGTGACTTCTGCAGTGAAAGCTGCATACTAGGTCAAAAGGCTCCACTTGATTTGACTTTAAAAACTAGCATGCGAGTGGTCTCCTCCTCCCCACTCAATTGGTGAGTGTTCCAGTATATCAGGATGTCTTGTTTCTTGGCTTGAAAGTTTCATCACTTGAATGTGTTGCGTAGTGTGAGCTATTCACTCTATGTCATGAAGAAGAGAAAACTTACTAGCTGGGTAATTCGGTCAATTTTTTGAGAAGATGCAGAGGTTTCTTCAAAGCGTTTTGAATATCCAATACAATTTGATTTTGATCTAACCTCAAGTTCTTGTGATCGATTTTCTCTAGAATTGTTTGAAAAATATTGTTGTTCTTTCCCGAGGTTTCTTTTTCTTCTTTTAATCCCTTAAGAAGCATTTGTAAGCTATCCTCATTTGACCTAGATGTGTTTCGGTTAGTTCCATTGTGCGGGGAATTTATTTACTTTGAAACTAAGATTTTATTATAAGACCATTCTCGGTTGCTGGTAGCATTAATATGACATGAACTCTCAAATTTGTGAATGTGCAAAGTACATTTTTTTCCTATTGCTATTATAGAATTTTAAACTATCCATTACTTATTGGCCTTCTCATCTATCCAAAATGTAGGATCCACAAGAAAATCGTGTCTGCTTCTTTGCCTCAGTTCTCAATACAAATTGGTTCTCAGGAGCAAATTAGGAACACTAGTGCGGGACTGCCACCAGCTTCTAAAGCCGCTGATTCTGTCGTTCTCCATTCATGGATTTATCCTCAATCTACCTTGCCATCCTCTCTTGTTTCAGCTTTGAATTCATCAGCAGCAGGTTGGGGTTATTTATAACATAAGATTCTGATCTCTTTGTATGTAAATTCTCACTTGTTCTCCTTTGATGCAGTAGAAGCTGAGTTCCTTAGCAGACGACAACTAGCATGGGAGGACTCATTTCAGAGCCTTTATTACATGTTTCGGAATAATGTTTGTAGAGTTTTTTATGGTAACTGCCTTCAATAATGTCGGTTAAGTTTTCTTGAGTATGGTTGTAGTTTTCTTTATCATCTTTCTGTAAGATGAAATAATATTTCAATGCTGCTAGCTATCATTATGTTACCCAAAATTGGTTTTAAGATACTCGTTTGAATCAATACATTTCACATTGCAATATCAATACATGCTTGATTCTGATCAGTCTCAAATATAGTTTCTCTTTGCCAGATAAATGTCATTATAGAGTATACCTGATTTGATTGATTGGTTTTGAAATTTTCAGTTTGCACATCACAATTTGTGGTTATGTTTACAAGTGGAGATGCCTCACGGGGCAACAAAAACTCATGCAACGCATATCTTTCCCAGTCAACAAGAGGACTGAGGTCTATTTTGAGTGAACATGTAAGATTTAACCCATTCGTTACTATTTTACCGCTGTTCCAATTTAGACATATTGCTGAAATGGACTCCGGTTGTATTTAATTTAGATTTTAAACAATGGTGTCTTTATTCCTTTTGATGGGATTCACACCTTCACTATTGTTGTTTTGGACAGATATTTGATTTTGCAGGTTAAACCTTTTAATGATACATAATGGTAACAATTGAAATTAAAACTCAACTAATTTGGCGTCAGTGAAGGCATATTTAAATCCATTTGTAGATGTAGTGTTAATCATCTTCAAATTTTTATGTTATGAAATTATACTTTTGTTGCGTACAACTGTACTTTGGAATTGCTTTATAAATTCTTCTAATGCTACCTGGATATTTTATTGATGCACTCTGCCCTAAGAATAGTATCTTGTAGGTGCGTTCGGTTTACAAAACAAAATAACACTGATGGAAAAATGTTGAGCTATCTAAAATCTATCTGCTTGCTCTGTTTATTTTCATAATTTAGCTTTCAATAACATCACTTTTTCCCATTGTTCTGAAATTTGGATCAGGATGTTAGTTTCTCTATGCCTCTTTGCCGTTCTAAAGTTGAGCAAGTTAACTCTGATGATTTGGTAGAACTTTCAGAGATAGAGAAGTTTAATTTGGGACAGGTTTGTATCTGTTATGTTTTCCTTTTTTTCCCATGTCTAGTACCAAACCATCTGATTTCATGATTAAGTTAGATATGGGATAAGCAAGCTCACACTTTAGCTTACCATCAGTTTTCTGCCAATTTTTTGAATTAAATGTTTATAGCCTTGGTCTTCTTGGTTGAGTTTGCTACTGAAAAGATATACGTTTTTCAGACACGGAGAGTTCGCTCATTTTCTGATGTAGATAGGAGCTCTCAATCATTGCTGTTTTTCAGTGAAAATAAAGACGTGCACGGGTTATATGATATTCTATTAAATTACAGGTAAATGAATATGCGTTGGTTATTTTAACAAGACTAAACACCTTAGGTCTGATCTATAGGATTAAGTCATCTTATAAAAAATAGTCATTGACTACATTTGATTATTGTCTTCAGATCTTTCTTGACTACATTGGCTGGCATGGACGTTCCTGTGTTGTTATCGCCTGTTCCCTTTCAGAATGCTGCTCTTTCCTCCCCTCAGGTGCATGGATTTTGTTTATTATTTAGTTTTATCACCTCTATGACATAGCCAATTAAACTAGAAGGTATCCCAAACGGACCTGAAACGTGTACACCATTGGTGCTGAAGTGCTTGCTGCAGCATGCCTCATTGTTTTAACCGTAATTCTTTCTTTCTTTCTTTCTTTTCTCAAAAAACGTAGAAAAATGAATGGAAAAATGGTTACCGAAGTTTTTTGTTTGTTGATCTGACTGACTTGCATTTTCACTGAAGTACTTGTTTCAGATATCATTGTCTGCCACGGGAGAACGTTTGTCTTCTCCCAAATGCTATGTTCTTCGTCTCCTTATAATCTTTAGGCATTGGTGGCTTGTACATTCTTTGTGTCCGCTGTGGTAAAAGTACGAATGCTTTGTTTTTTAGGTCAAATTCAAGGAGTTGAGAAGTGCAAACCATATTGCCGCAATATCCAAAGGAAATTCATCAAAAGATGGCGACTTCATTCAAACTTCATCTGTTGGTGTCTCCTATAGCTTTGAAATCAGCGATGCATATATTCCACCATGGGTTATTTCCAGTGTATGTGCAGTCATGGGTTCCGAAGGAACAAGCTTCGAGGCTAGGTATGATTTTTGTTGTGTTCCCTTGTTTGCATAATATTACCCATAATGGAATGATTTGTTGAACTTTTCTTTTAGAAAAGTTGCACCACGTTTTTATGATTTTTCATTAAATTACACGTTGTGTCTATATAGGTTCTTCCACTTTAAAAATGTTTAAAAAGTTCATGCAATTTTTTTTTACAATTAATTGATGTAATTGATATATTAAATTTAAATTTTATGTCTAATAGGACCCTAAACTTTCAGTTTTGTGTCGGGTAATAGGTCCATGAATTTTTGAGCATGTATTTTGGGGTGAAAAACTAACCATGAAAGGTTATTGTATGGATGGGGTTATTCTGCTTGGCTGCTGATGCTTGGCATAACTTTGAATGATTTTCAGCTTCACTACAGTCCCTGTCTCGATCGGTTTGAATGTCGCTCTTGGATCAGTAGATTCAAAACCCGACTCTCGGGCGACATCGAGTGAAGGCTTCCAACCTACCAACGATGCCTTTGGAATTCCCAACGCGATCGCTTCTCTATCCTTACGTTCAGGTTTATTAAAAGGTTTGAAGTACTCGGACAGCTCTTTTACAGCCTCTCTTTCTCCTGCATGATCTTCTTCATTTTGTTGTATTGAAGCCTGTGAATATGACAGTATGATGATCATTCCTATTTGTTCATTAACTGTGTTATTTATCTTGTATTTGCTTTGTATAATCAGATTTTGAGTTGCATGATCTTCTTCATGGCTGAGATTGTGAATGCAGTTGCCATGTTTTAACATCTACGTGTGTTCGATCTAACCCGTCACATCTTGATTGTTCTCTCCATTGTTTATCCTTACAACATTTTGCCTCTTAAGAAACTCGTAGGGTATTAAATTTTAGCGAGATAAAAGGAATAGAAACTCCAACCCGTAAAAGGAACCATCCAATTTTGAATACCAAAAACAAATAATTATTGAAAATCGAAATATTTTCATTTTCTACCTTATTATTGTATGTTTGATGGTTAGATATTAGAAGGATTTTTTTAGATAGTGGAAATTTAAAAGCCTTTAATCTCTTTATCGAGAAAATTCTCATTAATATTTATACAAAACTTACGAATTTTATAATTTTATAATCCTAAAAAGATGGGGTTATTGTTTTTATTGTTAAAAATATTTTTATTTTATGAAAAAGGATAAAAACAACATATTAGACTTTCTATATATATTAAGAGAATATTATCGCGCACACAAGAACAACTATTAAACCAATTTCTCAAAACTTACGTAATTTAACAAAAATTTAATTTTGAAATTGTTTTTGAATGCTCGATAAACTCGGTACATTTTTTTAATGATTTTTCAAACAAAAATCTATTAGAAATTTTTTTAAAAATGGTTACATTTATCAAATTTTAGATGCCCAATTGAGTGAAACTAAATGTTTACCATAAAATAGATGCATTAAATTATTTAGAGAAAAAATAAAAAGAAAAAAAAATGACCCTTAAATTTGATTTTTTTTTTTTAAATTAAAAAAAAAACGCCTTAAATATGAACATAAATGTTTCATAAACCTTAAAAAGCATCGAAACAGAAGATTCGAACTCACGACCAGAGGAAAGAGAAATGTCCAGCCACTTCTCAACAATGGCAATATAAAATATAATTTTAAAATAAAATAAAAATAAAATCAGTGGACTACGAAGAAACCCTTTTAAAAGGCAAGTCCCCGTTAAAAATTTCCCCTCTCCACCCTAGCCGCCGATCCCAGCTTTTGCCCTACTGGTTTTCATTTGCTCGTCTCCCTTCCAAGTAAGTTTCTTCTTAATCACTCTCCAATCCACTTCTTCGTCTCCTTATCTCCGCCATAAATGTCGTTGATCGCTGTGTTTTTCCGTCTTGGTTTCTCTTTTCTGTGGAAAATTGCTTTTGTTTCTGCTTTGCGGCAATGGCTCTTGCAGTTTAGCCCTAGGGTTTTAGTGCAGGTGTCTTTTTTCTGATTGCTCTCTGAACTATGTACCATTATTGATTTAAATCTCTTTTTTTGTTTATTTAGTTGAGTGGTTGTGTTGTTATTGTTATTTGGATGTTTTTGTACTGTTGATTATCAAATGTAGCTTAGATTTAAGGATTTAAGGATTCAGACGTTCCATTTTTTAATCTACTTTGACTTGAGGTTTCTGTGTCTCTTCTTGGTATTGATGTTTGCACGAACTCTTAGATTGGGAATAATTTTGTTCGTCTTCTTTCTGTGGGAGCTGCATTCTGTTCACTTTATTCTTTAGGATTAGGATTTATCAGAGCACTAGTGAGCTTTGGTTCTATTTCTCCTGTTAAATCTGACTTATGGCTTTGTTTTCATAGAAATGGCTGAAGCGGTCGAAGTGGTTCAGGAACTTATCCAACCTCACCATGACGTGAAACTTTTCAATCGCTGGACCTTTGATGATGTCCAGGTTTCAACTTTCTTTCCCATTGCGCTGTTTCTTTGACTGATGTTTGTGGGATGCAATTTTGGGTTAAATTCAACATTGCGTATGATGGAAAAAAAAAACTTTTACTATTGGTGGATTCATTTCACTCACGTTGATTTCATTGTCTTCTGTGTTATAAATGAGATTAAAGTCTGAGAACAACTTTTTGCTAATCTGTCTTAGATGGCTATTATGTGAAGGTGTTGGTAATTACAATTATTTTCTGTAGAAGTGTTGTTGTTGGGTTCTAACCAATCTGCTTGAAGTTGGTTGGTTCGCTGAAAACTCTACGCCATTGAGTTATTATTGTTACTATCGTTGGGTTTATTCAGGTTAATGACATGTCTCTGGGGGATTACATTGGAGTTGCACCTTCCAAGCATGCAACCTATGTTCCACACACTGCTGGCCGATACTCTATGAAGCGTTTCAGGAAAGCTCAATGCCCAATTGTTGAGAGACTTACTAACTCACTTATGATGCACGGCAGAAACAATGGGAAAAAACTAATGGCTGTGAGGATTATTAAGCACACCATGGAGATTATCCATCTGCTAACTGATCTAAATCCAATTCAAGTTATTGTCGATGCTGTTGTTAACAGGTATTCATATTCGATCCACTGAATTCCTCTCATGTCGCATGTTAGCTGTGCTATGTCGTTACAGTATTGTCAAATACTTTTCATGTTGCGATTTTCTACATGGGTAAATGTGATTAGTTTATTGTATTGGAGTTTGAAGTTAATTTAAAAGATAAGTAAATTCGCAAAAATTTATGAGGTTTAACAAGATCATATCAATAAAATTGAAACTAAGACCAAACCATGAAAGATTAAATTGGATATTTTTCAACCGTAGGATACTATAATGTGGATGTTCATTCCTCTGTTTTTATAAGAAACTTGGTACATGATTTATTGGATGACTTCCTGATCAGTATTATATCGAGGTCAATGACCTGATGAAAGATCGTGGTCATGCTGCAATGTTTTGAGTTATGAGTGTCTCTTTAACAATTTTTGGACATGGGACTTTGCAGTGGACCCCGAGAAGATGCCACTCGAATTGGTTCAGCTGGTGTTGTTAGGCGTCAAGCTGTGGATATATCCCCTCTGCGACGCGTAAATCAAGCAATATACCTTCTTACAACCGGTGCTCGTGAGGCTGCTTTCAGAAACATCAAGACAATAGCAGAATGTCTGGCTGATGAACTCATCAACGCCGCAAAGGGCTCATCAAACAGGTACATTTTACAACATCTGGTACTAAATTATCATCCACCCTTGCACAGTATGTCATTGCGTTTTTTCTATTCTTGCAGTTACGCTATTAAGAAAAAGGATGAGATTGAGAGAGTTGCCAAGGCCAATCGTTAAGAAGGGCAGTTGGGGAAAAGAGAGAGCTCAAAGGTTCGACAAGAGCTTCGTTTTTGTTCTTTGCCAATGCTCATCTGACATTCTTCTAGTTCTAAGTTTCTGTAGACGTGGTTGCCTTCAATGTTTTGTTTCTTTTGAATTCATCCAATACTTGATTAAGCTTTAAGGTGTCCTCGTATGGCTGCATGTGCTTTAGACCATGATTTTGTAAACAGTTGAGAATTTATCACAATATTTTGAAGAATTTGATGTTTTATTTGATGGATGGTTTTTATAAGTTATTAATTCTCTCATTATTATCCTCAAAACTTGATTGCTTTAAACTCTAACCCTCCTTCATACTCTTAAAAGTTTTTATTTCCTATTGTAAAATTTCATGGGTTGTTTTTAGGTTGATGTTGCTAGTTATCTATTTGGCCTAATATGCTAGTTATCTATTTGGCCTAATAAGCTTGACAGGCACTTTAATATACGTTCTTTGATACGACTCCACGTATCCTCTGATTACTCGGCTTATTTCTTATCATGCTACTTATCTATTTTGTTCAATAAGCTCGACATGTTCTTTAATATATTTTCTTCAACACGAGGTCCACGTGCCTTTTAATTATTTGGCTTAGTTCTTATCAGGCTAGTTATTTGTTTGGCCTAATAAGCTTGACATGCTCTTTAATATCTTTTCTTCGAGGTCTACATGTCTTCTAATTACTTGGCTTAGTTCTTATCGGGCTAGTTATTTGTTTGGCCTAATAAGCTTGACATGCTCTTTAATATATTTTCTTCGACACAAGGTCCATGTGTCTTCTAATTACTTGGCTTAGTTCTTATCAGGCTAGTTATCTGTTTGGCCTAATAAGCTCGACATGCTCTTTAATATATTTTCTTCGACACAAGGTCCATGTGTCTTCTAATTACTTGGCTTAGTTCTTATCAGGCTAGTTATCTGTTTGGCCTAATAAGCTCGACATGCTCTTTAATATATTTTCTTCGACACAAGGTCCATGTGTCTTCTAATTACTTGGCTTAGTTCTTATCAGGCTAGTTATCTGTTTGGCCTAATAAGCTCGACATGCTCTTTAATATATTTTCTTCGACACAAGGTCCATGTGTCTTCTAATTACTTGGCTTAGTTCTTATCAGGCTAGTTATCTGTTTGGCCTAATAAGCTCGACATGCTCTTTAATATATTTTCTTCGACACAAGGTCCATGTGTCTTCTAATTACTTGGCTTAGTTCTTATCAGGCTAGTTATCTGTTTGGCCTAATAAGCTCGACATGCTCTTTAATATATTTTCTTCGATACGAGGTCCACGTGCCTTCTAATTACTTGGTTTAGTTCTTATCATGCTAGTTATTTGTTTGGCCTCGACATGCTCTTTAATATATTTTCTTCGACACAAGGTCCATGTGTCTTCTAATTATTTGGCTCAGTTCTTACCAGGCTAGTTATCTATTTGGCCTAATAAGCTCGATGTGCGCCTTAATATACGTTTTTCAACATGAGGTCCACATGTTTTCTGATTACTCAACTTAGTTCTTATTAAGTTAGTTATCTATTTGGCCTAATCAGCTCGACATGTCCTTTTATATACGTTTTTCGACACGAGGTCCATGTGTCTTCTGATTACTCGACTTAGTTCTTATCAAGATAGTTACCTATTTGACCCAAGAAGCTCGACATGCCCTATAATATAGGTTCTTCAATACGAGGTCCATGTGTCTTCAAGGTGCCTATGTAGACGGATTTGACACAAGAAAAGTTGATCTTACTCGTAACATACTCCATCTTTCAATTTTATATTGCCATAACCATAACAATTCCAGATTTGTTGACATCGGTCTTAGTTCAAATATTGACTCATTTATCACATTAGTATGTAATAATGACGACTAGTTGAAAGAAGAACTTCGTTTAAACCCCGAAATACCCTTAGCTTTCTTTTCAATTACCGAATCTACCCTCCCCGTTGCCTTCAACACGAATCTCGCTCGCTCACTCAGCAGCATCAACCAGTAGCAGGAGCTGAAAACTGAGCTTCATCTATGGGGTCCGTTTCTCTGAAAATCGGAGATGGAACCGCCAGATTCAAGAAGGCAACTCTTTGTTCTTCAGCGCTCAACATTCTCATGCTCATTTCTGTAATCACCACAAATCTCTTCGCCTTGTACGCCTTCACTTACTCTCCGAAAGATCGCGAAGTCCATTCGCTCAATCGCACGCACAAGAACATTTCTCTCATATCGGAACAGGTTTCTTTAATTCTTAGAGAGATCGATGCTTCTCAGAAGAAGCTTGCTCAGATGGAGAAGGAAATTCTTGGTTATGAAAGCATCGATCTCTCCAGATCCAATGTCGCAAACGAGCTCAAACTCTTTCTCCAGCGCCATCCTCTTCCTCTTGGTAAAGATTCGAAAAGTGGAATCACTGAAATGGTTGCATCTATCGGGCATTCGTGTGAGAAATCGATGGACCTTTTGTCGCAGTATATGAATTACAAGGTCTCTGGACCTTGTCCTGACGACTGGAGCCTTGCTCAGAAGCTGATTCTTCGTGGATGCGAGCCCTTGCCGAGGCGGAGGTGTTTGGCCAAATCTGTGCCGAAGACAGGTTTGCAACCTTTCCCTCTGTCTCTGTGGAAACCTGTAAGTGATAAGATTGTTATGTGGAGTGGACTTGGATGTAAAAATTTCCAGTGTCTGAATAGCAAGAAATTAGGCAGGGATTGTGTTGGTTGCTTTGATTTGGCTAAAGAATTTGAGAATCAGAGATTTGTCAAAGCCAAAGGGAAGAATGATTTTCCAATCGATGATGTTCTAGCTTTAACTAGTGGTGGAATCAGGATAGGTTTAGACATTGGGGGAGGATCTGGAACATTTGCTGCTACAATTGCTGAGAGAAATGTGACCATTATTACCTCTACTTTGAACATGGATGCCCCATTCAGTGAATTCATTGCTGCAAGAGGGTTGTTTCCTCTGTTTTTGAGTATAGATCATAGATTCCCTTTCTATGACAATGTGTTTGATTTGGTTCATGTCTCAAATGGATTGGATACTGGTGGAAAGCCTGAAAAACTGGAGTTCCTCGTGTTCGATATCGATCGGATCTTAAGGGCGGGTGGATTACTTTGGCTGGATAATTTCTATTGTGCTAATGATGAGAAGAAAAAAGCTTTAACTCGCTTGATCGAGCGGTTTGGATTCAAAAAACTGAAGTGGGTCATTGGGGAGAAGTCTGAATCAGGCAAACCCGAGGTCTATCTGTCTGCTGTTCTACAGAAGCCTGTAAGAGTATGATCATCAAACTAGCTTCAGCAGGAACGGGACAAGAGGTACGAGAGAATTGTTTTTTCTCATCTTTGATTATCAAAATATTGAGTGAATTTGGTAATAGCATACTCATTGCATGTTTCAAAAGTGAAATAATGAATAGCATCAATTGTTTATTCTGATTACTTGTATACTAGCTGCCATTGAGAAGGATCCAGCATTAGATCAGCCACTTTCCTTATTACACACCCTTGTAAATAATGTTTCGTTCTCCTCTCCAACGGATGTAGAATCTCATAATCTACTCTCTTTAAGGCTAGCGTCCTCACTGACACATCGTCTCATTTGGTGTCCACCTCTTTAGGGTTCAGTCTCCTCGCTAGCACATTGCCCGGTGTCTAGCTCTAATACTATTTGTGACGGCCCAAACACCACTGCTAGCAAATATTGCCCTCTTTGAGTTTCCCCTTAAGGTTTTTAAGACGTGTCTGCTAGGGAGAGACTTACACACTATAAAGAATGTTTCGTTCTCCTCTCCAATTACGTGGGATCTCACAATTAGCCTTTTTGAATCTATACCATGAAAGATACCCATCATTGTTATGAGCTCTTCCTCGAGTTATAAAATAGAGATGGCATAACTTGATATTCTTTTGCCATAGTCATGAATTTTAGTATTTGTTGAAAGGATGATTATTTGTCAAATAGAGTGTAAGTTGATTAATAAACCAAGATCATTATGCCTAAATCATCTTAATACTTAGATTCGTGTTCGTGTGTATTTTTATGTTGGTTGACTTATATTTATAATATGAAAAAGATGCTAATTTACGAGGACGAATTTTCATACTATTGAAAACATATTGATTTATATAGCGTGTATTACTTATTGTATACCATTGAAATTATACCAACCTTTTAACTTATTTATTTTAAAAGGAGAGTTTTAATTTTGAATATTTGAAATTGTGTAGAGTTAATAACATATTTAGTATATTGATTGTTCTATTTCCAATAAATTTTATAGGTGTAAGATCGAAACATCAACATTTGAGATGATAATTATTATTTTATCCATTGAATTTTCAAAATGGCGCTAACATTTTGTTCTACAAAATCATCCTAAAACATTAGAAATAGCACAGGAAAAAAAAATACCCTAAAATAGAATAGATTAATTAATGTAATAGAATTTTAATTAAATATAACTTATAAGAAATTATAATATAGAATAATAAATCATTATCATCTATATTTTTAAATATTAGACTTACAATTCTAAAGATTAAAAAAATGATAAATAAAATTTTAAGGCATATTAATATATATATAAATATATAAATATATTTTGTCTTCTAATCCACAAATTTATCCAAAAAAAAACATAAAAGGTTTAAATATTAAGTATTGTTATTTCATCCTGAACTCTAATCTTATAAAATATAAATTTATTTAATTTTAGTTAATTTTTTAAAAAACGTTTTAAAGGAGAAAATAAGTCCTTCTTGGCCCTTTACTTCATTGGGGACAAGATAAATTTTTAAGCAAATAGATAAAAAAAAATCTTGAGACAACTAATTGATTCATATTATAATAATATGAAATTATAAATTTAGTATATGCGCTTAAATATACCATATTTTTTATTTTACTTTTATTTTTTAATTAATTAACAAACGTTGTTTTGTGTAGAATATAGAGTGATTTGAACTATAATATTTTAATTCTCGCGAGTCTCAAATGATTACGAGGATTAAAGTTGTTTATTTAATATATATATATATATATATATATATTTTCATGTAATTTAACACTATTAAACGAATAAAAAAAAAGGATGTGATATAATAAATCATGTAAAAAAATATACAAAAAAGAAAAGAAAATTAAAGAAAATGGATTTGGGCCTTTGGCAGCACAGAATGAGTCCACTTGCGTTCTTAAATTAAAAGCAAGCCTTATTGTTTCCCTCGTTTAACCCTAGCCGCCGTCCCTGAGCTGCTTCTTCTCTCTCTCTATCTCTCCGCTTCAGTTTCTCCATCAAGCTGCAGGTCGGAGTAAGTTTTCTCTAACTAAGCTCAGTGATTGTTTATCGTTACTGTTTCCTCAGTGTTTATCCCGATGATTTTCTATTTGTTGAATCTTCTGATATTATTTTGTTGATATGGAGAATGTATTTATGGATATTGTTGGTCGTTTTCTTCCATGAATATTAGGGATATTTGTTTCTTTTACTGCTTTTGGATTTTCTGTTGCGCAGTTTTTTATTGCTTCCATGATTCATTTTTCATGTTTAAATGTGCTCTGCTTGCTCGGATTCTAGCATCGGTCAACTATAGCACTCGTGATATCGTTTAGTAATGGAAATATCTGACTACTTTTTGAAGAAGATCTTAATTTATTTTCTCTGTAGTTGTCCAATGGTAGTAAGCCAATGCTGTTTGTTGTTATATGTTGAAAATACTGCATTGAAGAAGAAAATTACACAGGAGACACCTTATATTTGGGATTGTTATCATTGTTATTTTCTCTCTATGGTTTTTACGCTTTCAATTTGTATTAAACCTGATTTGCGATTTTTTTCAGAAATGGATGCTGCGGTTGCGGTTCCGGTGGATGCGGGTCAGGAACTCACCCAGCCTCACCACGATGTGAAGCTTTTCAACCGCTGGACCTTTGATGATGTCCAGGTTACTATTTTTCTTTTCTCTAATGATCTGTTTGTTTACTGCCTTTTATGGATGCCACACCTACTTTTATGCAATTTCTGATGCTGGCTTTTCTCTGAGGTTTTTCTTTTTGCTGTTCCACACACCGAAGCTTGGTTTTTAGATTTAGGAATTGTCCGATTATTCAATTCAATGTTAGTTAGGCTCGTTATGGACTTGTTAATAATCTCTACTGGGATTTAAATTATTGTCCCAAAATCCTACTGTAAGGTGCAACGTGTACTATGCTAAACATTGCTACTTGTTTGTCCAATTAATTATCAAGAGTCCCAAGTTTTGGAGTCAAGAAATAAGTAGTCACCCTTGATGAATGATGACAGACATGAGATGATAGGCTTGTCTTGTATCAGATTATGTTTTTTTCTCCCTATTTTTAGTGTTGTTTTGCTGCTTATTGTGATAATGAAGGCAATTTATGGGTTAACTTCATTTGTAATGAATTCACTGGCCAATTTTATGGCTAATATGTGAAGGACTTTGAATGGTTGGTTGGTCTGTACCATTTTGCTTTGATTTGGTAGGTTCAGCAAAAACTTGATACCACCCACATCTTCTGATTGTGTCTGATGGGTATGGTGATGCAGGTTAATGACATGTCTCTGGGGGATTACATTGGAGTTGCACCTTCCAAGCATGCAACCTATGTTCCACACACCGCTGGCCGATACTCTATGAAGCGTTTCAGGAAAGCTCAATGCCCAATTGTGGAAAGACTTACAAACTCCCTCATGATGCACGGAAGAAACAATGGGAAGAAACTAATGGCTGTGAGGATTATCAAGCATGCAATGGAAATCATTCATCTACTAACTGATCTTAATCCAATTCAAGTTATCGTTGACGCTGTTGTCAACAGGTATGCTTTATCGGGGCACTGAATTTCATCATAGAAGTGTTTCATTTGTTTGGCTTATCAGTCCGTTACGATTTGGCAGTGGTCCACGTGAAGACGCTACACGAATTGGTTCAGCTGGTGTTGTTAGGCGTCAAGCTGTGGATATCTCCCCTCTGCGACGTGTGAATCAAGCAATATACCTTCTCACAACCGGTGCTCGTGAAGCTGCCTTTAGAAACATCAAGACAATTGCCGAATGTTTGGCTGATGAACTCATCAACGCCGCTAAGGGCTCATCAAACAGGTAAATATTATAGAATCTCACACTAAGCTCTCATCTATTCTTCTGTACCAGATGACATTGTGTTCTTCTGTTCTTGCAGTTACGCTATCAAGAAAAAGGATGAGATTGAGAGAGTTGCAAAGGCCAACCGTTAATGGAATAGAGAGAGAGAGCTCAATGGTACAACAGGAGTTTTGTTTTGTTGTTCTTTATTAAGTTTCTATGGACATGGTTGTTTTGTTGCTAGAATCATTTAATACTTAATTAGGGGTTTAAGAGTTTTGATATGGATGAGATATTAGTTTGTATTTAATTTTGGATAAATTGCTTTGCATTTTAACCACTTTGAATGTGATTCTCTTTCTACTATAGTTTCTTTTGAATCATAATTCTTATGTTTTTTTTGGTGGGTTATTAGTAATTTAATGTTGTGTTAAATTTAATTAAAATTTAGATTTCCATATTGTAGCAGTAAGTTTTTTTTACCGATCAAATGAATTTTTACATCACCTTTTTGTTACCTTTGGAATATCTTTGTAAATAAAATCAAAATTTTAGTTGTTTGGTTTTTTTTTTTTTTTTTTTTTTTTAAGAATTAAGTGAGTTAAAAAATTTATTGATTTAAATACTTGTTTTAATTAAACGACTTTAAAGTGATTAATTTATTCACGTTTGTAATAAATAGAATTACTTTTAAATGAAATGAAATTAAACTAAAGTTTATGGTAAATTGTAACAATTAAGTCACTTGCGCAAAATAATTTTTTTTTATATATTATTTGTCTCCAAATTTTTTAATTTCTATAAAATAGATTTTTCTACTAAAAAAAAATTGGTCTAATAAATCTCTTTTTAACTTTTAATTTTCTTTTAGTAATATAGATACATTTTAAATTTTTTAACTGTGTCCAAAATTATTGATATTATGAATATTAATATTTTAAAAATTATCTAATTAATCCCAAAATTAAAAGTTGGTGAATTTATTATAAATTTTTAGAACAGAATTTATAATTTAACCAATACATTATTTAAAATATTTCTTAAAATATAAAGTAAAATATTTTTAGAAAAAATATATTTAAAAAAATGCTTAAACTTCAAGATATTCCAAACCCATCCCAAAGTTAAAAGAATTTATGTTTACTTATAACTTTAATTTTCTCAATTATAAAAATCTAAATTTAGCCAATTATTTATTTATTTTTCTAAATTTTTCTAAAATAGTTTACTTTTCAAACTAATATTTAAATTTTATAGTTTGAAATGTGATGCGTTGCATTTACTAAATATATTTAATTATTTAATAAAGTAGACTTTCGAGTCTTATTAAATTGCATGTATGATTAGCGTACACATAAAATGAATGTCCTAGGATTTAGTTTGATGAATTGTATGTTGTATGATTAGCATGCGTTACTACGACAATTAGACCATGGGTTATGGAGATTACGAGCTATGTGATGAATGATATGGACGTCAATCACGTGAATTACGAGTATTGTTTTTCATATTACATAACTGTTGTGTTTGTATGGTGGAACCTCATGTATTTAACTACACTCCCAGTCACAATTTATATGTATATATAACATGATTTATGTTTTGTGTATCTATATTTTTGTGGATTTCAATTGTGTAAGGGTACGTATGCTCATAGTCGGAGCAAAGAGAAGACGGTACAAATGCTAGACTAGAGGGTCAAAGTGCATACATATTAGATTCGTGTCGAGAATAAGGAGTAATGCACCTTCAATTATATCGGACATAGAAGTGAAGCTCAGTTCTCGTAGCTACAACTATGTTATTCGTCTAAAAATATGAATGAATTAAAAAAAAACGAGAAATTTACGGATAGTTAAATAAACAGATATTTAGTCTATCACGTGCACCCGCACGTGGTTCTCACGTGATGCAAAGTCATCAGTTTAAAAACCTCGTGTCAATTTCTGAATGGCGGAACTTATATTATACCGTATATCGTATCTGCAGCGGAACTTCAGGTCGCCGCCATTTAAATTCCCATTTTACCCTCGGCTTTTTCTTTATTGACCATCCACGTCCCTTCCTCACAAAGTAAAATTACAGGCTATTTTTCATTTTTCAATTTTTATTTATTTATTTATTTTTATGAACCAGCTCTCTCTCTCTCTCTCTCTCTCTCGAGTGTTGCAGGATTTTTTTTTTTTTCCTTTTTGGCCTTCGTTTTTCTCTTACTGTTTCAAGTTATACGTGTTTTGCTTGTTCTGTGATTCATCGATCGGACTGTCATCTTCTCTCCGTCAATGACTATGATGACTCGTCCACCTCTTGATGTAATTTAGCTAATCTATTTCAGTTTCTGTTCTTGTTTTTGTTTTTGTTTTTGTTTTTTTTTTTCGTACTCGTCGTCGTCTTTTGATTGTTTGTTTGTTTGTTTTGGTGTCATTTGCTGTTCTTTGAATTTTGATCTTAGGGATTTGATTTTGGTTCGGACGTCAAATTGAGTTGAGAATTCAATAACTTGGTTTGTTAGATTGTTAGAGCTTTAGGGTTTCGATTCAGTCTTTGTGGGCTTGAGTTTCATCGTTTGGAAGATCTGATTTGCGTGTTTTGTTTTGCAGCAAGAAGATGAGGGGATGCTTGTACCGCATTCGGATGTAGTGGAGGGTCCTCAGCCGATGGAAGGTTTATATTTAGCCTGCTTCACTGGTCTACTATTTGAATTTTATGATCTTTTTAGTTCGCTATGGTTTTGAAGTTAATGCGTTTACAATTCACTGGAAGAGGGGATGTTTAGGGTTTTTTTTTTTTTTTATATTTTTTTTGTGGCGTGACTTCAGTTTCATCATGTGATGATCCCATTTTGTGTTGAGGCATTGATCTGTTTTTTTTGCATTTTCGCGATTGGTTTATGTCAGCTCAAGTGGAGCCTTCTGGCACCGTGGAGAACCAGCAAGTGGAGGACCCCCCACCCATAAAATTCACATGGAGAATTGAGAACTTCTCTAGGTTAAACATGAAAAAGTATTATTCTGATACGTTTTCAGTTGGCGGATATAAATGGTACGTTCTTTATTTCATTTTCATTTGCGAGATTGTAATTTGGGCCATTGAGTGTTGTAGCTAGTAGTTGATTTGAGTTTGTTGGTTTCATCAGGCGGATATTAGTTTTTCCAAAGGGAAACAACGTGGACCACCTGTCAATGTATTTGGATGTTGCAGACTCTGCAACATTGCCGTATGGTTGGAGTAGATATTCGCAATTCAGCTTGGCTGTGGTTAATCAGGTCCATAAAAAGTATTCAATACGGAAGGGTAAGTACTTTAATCGCTTGTAAGGGAAATATTTTAATCACTTGTCGATTGATATGTTGAGTATTAGATGAAAACTAGCACTACAAAAATATTTGTGTTTTTCAGACTCTCTTTCCCCCCTTTTTGAAGCATGGGCAATTAGCTTTCATATGTTTTCTCCCACTTTTCCCAAATGGTTCACCAAGTTTTATACTTCTTTATTCGTTTCAAGTTCACTAATATAGAAAATGATACTAAATGTCCAACATGACCGTCGAAGTTATTGGAGAAAGAAAAAATCTTTCAAATCATAGAATTAGAGGGAAAAAAAAAATGTACCAAAGACGGAAGGAGAAGGAGAAGATAAGAAATCAAACGAATGTATGATAACTTAAAAGCAAAGATTCCAGAAGGATCTGTACTCTATAGGACAACACAATGATTTCTGTACATGGAAAGAAGTTGACAGTTCGAATAATAGATATGAGTGGAACTAATTCATCAATCTCACAATCAATAAAGGTTTTTCGATATGAAAATCAAAATGGAATCTTCTCCTCGTCCAAATAAGTCAGGAAATTTTTGGAAAGGGCTTCAAAATAAAGAAGGGAAATTGTGATGAAAGGTAGTAGCCTCCTAGTTCTCAGACAACATTGGATCACCTTTTATGAGTTATGAATGGTGTCCAATGACCCTGATTAGGACTTGGGAGTACCTTATGCCTCAAGATTCAAAGGAATAATGCCACAACCATTTTGATAGAAGTAAAATATTTTACACCTTTTATTCCCAATGGACCACCCCCCTCAGATGGCTCGGTACAATACTTCATTAGCTAAATGCCAGTCACTTCTCTCCTCAACCACCTCCCGCAGAAAATTTCTCATACTCTTGACCAACTTCACTTTAACCTATGTTTGGATTTTGAAAAGGGATGGAAAGTACTGTGAAATTTCATGTTTGGATATCAATATGACAAAAGACAATAGTTGTTAATACTGATTTGAGGTCTACACAAAGGCCTTCTTCCTTGTAAGTTTGTTGTATTCCTTGTAAGATTGAATGGTATTTTTTTTTGCGGGGAGGAACAATTTCTTTGATAGAATGAAATAAAAAAGATTTAAACACTCCTAGCCAAAAGGTGTATTACGTGAAAGATCTCCAATTGATAATTAAAGGGCGAAAGACTTTAATATGAAGAAGGGTGTTTACATTTACATCAATGGAGTGAATTAAAGACATCCAAATCTATGAAAGTTTAAAAATTGGTGACCGTATCTCTGAAAATTCGGCCATTTCTCTCGCACCAAAGAGACCAAGACAAGCTAACCGTAAAATCTTCTTTGGACCATGAAAAGGATGACCACAAAAATCAAAGCTAAGAGATCAAAAAGATTATGAGTTAAAGCCATACTCCAACCAAAAGTTTCCGGCATACAAGTCCAACAACCATAAGCAAAGGAACAGCAAACAATGGGTTCTGCAGGAGTCTTGTTGTTGGACAAGCATACGAGAAGGAGATATGACATATTGCAGCATTTGTCGTTGTAAACAATCAACAGTATTAACACTTCCCATGACTAGGTTCCCTCAAAGAAGCCTTTATCTTCTTTGGATAGACATCTTGATAAAGAACAGAGTAAAAGTTGTTAGAAGTTGGACCATTGGATTGAATCAGATCTGCCATCAAAGAACTTTCAGTAAAAGACTTCGAAGGATCAAGAGGCCAAATCTAAGAATCATGTGAGCTCCTCGAGGGTACCAATTAGTTACTTGTACTTTAATTCTTTAAAAAAACTTTTGAGGATGATTGAATGGTATTTAAAAGTTTTCTGTTTGTGTTTATTTTGTATATTTTTGACATAACTACTTGGTTACTTCTCCTTTCATTTTCTAAAAAGCATGCATTCATCTATCCAGAGGAAGATTTAAAAATTGTGTTATTTATGATTCGCTTTCTTTTTTCTTTTAGATTGAATTTCTTTGGATCAAAACTATTTATGTTTATTCCCCCACAATTTCCTAGTATATAAAAGCATGTATTCATCTTTTCAGAGGAAGATTTAAAAATTGCATTATTTATGATTTTTTTT